CAGAGTGTTTTCAGAAAATTCAGGAGCCACCCCTCTCTCAGAGCACAGAGAAAGGGGCACTGACCCCCTCGCCCAACCTGGGTTTCTCCCCACAGCCGCACAAAACCCCCCTGGGGCCCCACGACGTCAGGCAAGCCCCCTGAATGTGGGGCCATCCCGCTTGCACCCTGCCCGGCACAGCCAGCTTCTTTTCCCTCTGCTGGAGTCCTAGAGCCCAGAGGGCAGCGTGTCTGGAAGGGTACCTGTCCAGCAGAAGCCCTCCAGGCAGAGCACAGACACCGTTCCCTCCTGCCTCTGCACTCCTGGACACAGAAAGGCCCAAGACCCTACTCGGAGGAACCCACCCTTGCTAGCGGGGTCCTCGCCAGCTGCCCCCCTGGAGAGCCAAGAGCTGCAGCTTTGAGTACAGAACATCCCAGCGGGGTCAGTGTCACAGAGAGGCAGCAAGACCTCTGTGCAAGGGGCGCACGCCAGGAAGGGGCTCTGCCTGCTGCAGGGAGGCGTCCGAGGGCTGCCCACTTTTAACTCGGCAGATGAGAGACCCGCGGTGACTTACGGCTCAGAGGGCCATGCCTCTTCTCTCTGCAAACTCTCCAGTTTTACTGCTCAGCCAAACCTAATTCCAAAACACTAATGCTTTTATTTAAACACCACATCCTGCCATAAAGCCTTAATGTGCAGCGGGACGCATCGAGGGGGAGAGAGCGCGTGTCTGCGGCCGGCCTCCGTGGCTGCACCTGGCTACTTCCCTCCCTGCGGCCGGAGCTGGAAGCGGGCAGGGCAGAGATGACCTTCCCGGGCATGCTGAGCTCTGGGCCCAGGGGCCGGAAGGAAGGCGGTGCCCGAGGACAGGCCTACCTCCCCGCTGTGGGTGTCAGCGGAGCCAGAGGTGGTGAGACCTGAAAACTGGGCAGCGGCCCCAGGCCACCCAGCCCTCCTGGACCCTCAATTACCATCGACTCCTTGGAAGGTGGGAGCCACATGCAAGCTTGGAACTGCCCACACCTGCTTGTGCCCTGGCTCCTTGGAGGGGCCTGAGTGGCTCAGGGAACCTGGCTGCCCCCCAGACCTGCTCACCCCCTCCTCCCCCAGCCCACACTCCACCCAAGAGCCAAATTCCTGCCAAAGGTCAGGGTGCAGGAAGGGCTGGGGCACCTGCCGTGGGTCTGGGCATCAGTGCCAGGAAAGGCAGAGCTGACACACACTCTGGGAAAACAGCCCTGCGGCCCACGGGGGACTCACCCCAGGCTGCAGGTGCCACCGCTCCAGCAGCCAGATGGGACAGGGACCCCCTCCCACAGATGCCCAGCCCCCGCCAGCTGCCCAGGACCCCTGCCCTTTGCCTCCCCAGAGAAGGGCTGGCACTGCGGAGACAGGCTTCAGAGACCAGTCACAGCACCTGACCTTGTCCCCTGGCAGTCCTGGTCCAGCCGTGGGACCTTCAGGACATCACCCTGCCCCCGTCCTGACTGAGACCTGGCTGGTGGCAGGGCAGGTGGGTGGTCCTGGTCTGCACGATGCCAGCCCGTGTGACCCAGCTGTCCTTCCTACCACAAAGCGCTTCCAACCAGAGTTGCTAAAAACAGAGGAGAGCAGTGTGGGGCTTTGACAGGGGTGGGGCGGGAGGCAGGCCGAGGTGAGAGACACACAGCCCCTTTGGTTTCTTGTCTGAAGCTTCACAGGCACCTGAGGTGCCTCAAAATGCTGGTCTGGGGGATTTCAGAGCAGGGGCCGGGCTGAGGGCTGCAGGTGCCTCTAAGCCCCCAGGAGGCCAAACTACGAGACACTGTGCCTTGTAGGCGGCCTGAGAGCGAAGACCAAGTGTCTTTCCCTCAAAAAGCCTCTCGCATGCGCCCGTGAGTCCCTTCCCTCCCTGCGGCCGCCCAGCCGATGGGGGACAAGCTGCTTTGCTTGGCCTCTGAGTGGTTTTCAGCCCCCATCATGCAGACGGCCCTTTCTGCTGGAAAGTGACCCCTTCTGGGGTGGCACCAAGTGACACCCCAGGGCCACTGCCACCCCACGTTCCTCAGCCAAGGCCTCGCACCCCCAGCCCCGGCATGTTCCCCCCCGGCGGACCCCACGCCTGCCACAGGCCGCCTTCCCTCCGCCGCAGTCAGCACGCTGAATATTTAATGTCTGATGAACGCTTCCACCTGCTGACACAGGCAAAGTGACAGAACAATACCGGCGGGGACAGGCCGGCCACCGACACTCAGGCGGCCTGCCACCAAGGCCTCACCCGCCACAGCCGCCGCCTGCCTGCCCCGGGCGGCCCCTGCCTCCGGCGAGAGGGTCCTGACCTGGAATACACACTTCTTTACATTCCATAACTTAGCAGGTCCATATGGGCACATAAAGAAGTATGTTTCCCAAGCAGGTAGTTCAATGGGCAGAGTTTGTGGGCTGGGGGGCCACGGGGGAGAAAGAAGGCTGTGGGTTCCCAGGGGATCCAAGCCCCGGAGCCTCCCGGTGCGTGGAGCCCGCACACCCGCCGCTGCAGCCCTGGTCATCACCCGGGCTCCACGGCCCCCTGCCCCTGCTCTGACCTCCTCGTCCCTCTGTCCCCCTCCCACAGGCACACACCCAGTTCAGAAGGGCAGAGAGACCGTGCGCTCCAGAAAGACTCACGCGTCCCTCCGATCACCCCCACAGTCATTTAGTTTTGCATCAATGACACAAGAAAGGAGTCAGGCTGCCCCCTCCCACCCTCGCGCCGAGAAGGGTGTGACATTCCCTCCCCGAGGCGGTGCCCGGGCCTCCACCAGCACCCTTCCTCTCCACCGGGGCACCCCTGTCCAGCCGCTCAGGAGGACCTGGCCACAAGCGGTCAGGGAACAGGCGGCCAGAGCCAGCAGGGAGCCTGGCCCCCCTCCCCATAAGTGCAGACGATTGAGAGGTGGACAGGCCTTACCTGGGCAGCTGGGTGGCTTCCCGGGCAGGTCCCTGGTGCTTCAGTCTCCCAAGAGCCAGCTCCCCTGAGGGCGGGGCTTATGCCTCTGTCTTTGAAGATGTGCTGAGAAGGGCAGTTGCAGGTGGACCTTGTGTCCCTGGAGGGCGGCTGGGAGTTACTGAGAAGTGGCCTGTGCTGCAGCCAGCTTCTCCGCGCCTTGGCCTGACCATGGAGCAGACGCCCAGCCGGCGAGGGACTGGTGCCGGCTTGGCTCCCCCACTCTGGCCGCCGCCTCCTCTGACTCCCTCCCTCCCTCTCTCTCTTCTTCACCCTTTCTCTCCCCTTCACTCCTGGTGCATCACCACCTGAAACGATGCTTGCGCCAGTGGGCGGCTTGCTCGGGCATCCGGGGTGGCCCAGGCACCCAGGCGGCCGGACCTCACCTGGCTCTTTGTGGCCTGCGCCCAGCCTCTGCCGGGCCTGATCAATACCAATTTACAGTCAAACGCAGGGGCCGCCTTCCTGTTAATGAGTTTCCCCTGAGCTCACTGCTTCTAATGAACCCGTTAAAGAGGGTTTAAGTAAACTTAGCAAGCGGCAAACTAAGCACTTTGGAATATTTAATTGTATCGATATTGTTTTCCACTGCATTTCAAAATTTCCCTGTGATGGAGCAGGAGAGGCCCCTCGGCCCCCTCACTTTCTATGGCCACCACGAAGCCAGGAGGTTGAAGACCATGGAGACCTGAAGGAGAGCAACAACGGGACCTTGGTCAGGTCCCCACCGCAGGAAGGGGCACCGCCCCAGCCTGAGCTGGCCTGGGAAGCCAGAGGAGCCCTCGGGGTGTCAGGAGCAGCATGGGATGGGGAGGCCTTGCCGTGGCCCAGGTAGGACCCACAGGTGAGTGGTGGGACCTGGAAGGAGGGTGTCACTGACTGCAGGACACACCTGGGGGCCAGGAGCCAGGCCAGGTGCAAACACAGAGGGTCTGCACTCTGGGCCCAGGTCTTGTGTGGCTGGGAGCTGACCCTGGCCTGAGGACGAGGCCCTGGGCCAGAGTGGACTTCCAATTCTTCCTCCATCAGCAAGATGAGATCCGGGGTGACCCTGCCCACCCCTCCGCACTGAGCAGCCCACTGGTCCCTGTGGATGGGCCAGAAGGGTGTCCAGATGCAGCCACCACCCTGGGCAGGGCAGTGTCTGCAGAGCCTGCATCACACAGAGGCAACTGAGCAATTTCTCAAGTCCCTGGTCTTGGCAGCTGCACCGGGCACCGCCGGGCTGGCATTTACATGGGGGCGGGGCGTGGTCAGGGCTCCGGGGGCACCCCCACTAACAGGAAAGAGCCACCAGCAGGACATGGAGGCACAACGTCCCATCTCTGTGTGACTGTGCTGTTTGTCATCTTCATGGAGCCAGGGATAACAAAGGGAAACTGAGACAGCTCTGGGCCCCCCACTTCTCCTCAGGCCCCTCGAGGTGCCCCTAGAGAGCCTTGAATGAAGTCTAAGTTTCCTCTCTACCCTCTGACAAATGAGGCCTCGGAGTCTGGGAAGAGTGGCCAAGACTCAGGCCTGGGACACCCCCCTCGCCCCCACCCCCAGGCGTTCATATGGATGGTGTCTGGAGGTCAGAGGGAAGTTGGGAGCCCCCAAGGGCAGGAGAGTCACCCCAGTTCCAGCCAGAGCCCCCACGAGCTTCTGTCCACTCAAAAATGAACCACAGCCACTTTTGAAAAAGTTTCCCTGCTTGATGGAAAAGGAGGACCCAGTCACCTCTAAGGGCACCCTGTGAGGCACAGTGAGCTGACCCCAGGCCCCGGGCCGGGGCTCTCCAGCTGTGAATGCTCCCAGCTCTCAGCCCCCAGCCCCGCGGAGGTCGCGATCTCTCGCCAAGACCACCAGGCTGCTTCCCCTCCAGCCCCCAGTCTCCGCCCACATGTGCCCCCGCTGTGCACGCCCAGCACAGGGAAGCTCCCTACCCTGACCCTGGCTGTGAGAGCCGCAGAAGTCCAGAGTCCCCACCTGGGGGAGCCTCGCCATGTCCTCTGCTCCAGGACCCTTGCCCCCAGCACCTCCACCATTATTGCTGCAAGTTCCAGGGTAAGTTTCGCCACACTTGCATCTGCTCTGCGCTTTGTTGCAGGTTAATCACGCCCTCCCCGCCGAGGACCCCAACCCGGCACCCGACCCCCAGGCACCCTCAGGGCGTCCGGAGCTACTGCTTCCTTGCAAAATGCCCGCATGTCAAAGTTCGTGCATCCCGGTTGGACGCGCCCTCCCGGCCCTGTTGGCTGCTGGCTCTGCAGTTTTCCAAATGCGGACGATGCCGCGAGCCAAGAGAAAACTCCAAAGCACCCCCGGCTGGAGCCACGCGGCGCCAGCACGACAGCTCCCACCTCGCCGGCGGGCACACCCCCACCGCAGCAGCCGGCAAGTTTGCGGGGGCCGCCCAGGCGGGCTGAACGGGACTCACCGCGGAGCCCCTCCAGCCGGGCTGGCGACAGCGGCCGCGGGTGCAGGGTCGCGGCTCTTGGGTACGATGCGCCCCGTGCGGCTCCCAGGGAGATGCTGCAGCCGTGGCAGCACCATCCACCTTCTCCCGGAGCCAATCGTGAATGCAGAGGTGGGGGAGGCCGGAGCTCCCGATGCGTCCGCACTTGGGGGGCGGGGGGGAGCAGAGAGAAAGAAGACACCAGGCACCCCCTCTCCGCACCCTTGCCCTTCCCCCAGCCCTCCTGCAGCAGCAAAGACTTAGCAGGGAGGGAGATCTTGAGAGAGAGAGAGAGAGAGAGAGAGAGAGAGAGAGAGAGAGGTGCAGGGGCGGCAGGCTATGCGGAGTTCAGGAGAGCGACCTTTCCGCCGCACACCTTGAGCGCTCCCTGCCTGGGCTGTGTCTGCAGGACGCTTCTGCACCCCGCTGGGGTCAGCACAAGGTAGAGGTCAGGTGAACAAAAGGGGAAGGTCCCGTGGGCTGCAGGCTCACACAGGCAAACGGCTGACCGCACGCGAGACCCACGACGGGCCGGGGGAGGGGAGGGAGGGAAGGGCCGACCTGAGAGGCCAGCGCGGGCGTGGGCCCCCCTCGGATCAGGGGCCGGCCTCACCTTTGCAGTCCTTATATACCCGGCCAAGCATCCCAAACACGCGCCCTGGCCAAGCGGCCCCCTCGGGCTGTGCTCCCTGACCATATTTAGTCAAGCAGGGGAAAAAATGCCTGTCAGCTGGGCCGCG